TTCCCCCTGAAAATATACACAAGAAACTTTTTGGTTTTTGTTGGGAGAGAGGAATTGGGTAACGGAAGTACAGGAGAAGAAAATATATTAGTAATTGCTCAGTAAATATTTGTGGAGTACATTTTATACCTTTTTGTATAGTATAGCTTGATTTTTACTGCCTACATCCATTGCTTTTACTTTGATAAGGGATGGGGGAATCAGTAATAAAGCAATAAAAAGAATTTCTTCCATAGGTCACGCATAAACTCATTTCTGAGCTTCCTAATAGCCAAGGCAAAGAGGGAGCCCTAATAAGGAAACATAACACATTCATCAGGAAAGAAAAACATTTTCCTGATCTTAATCTCTAAAAGGAACAGGGCCGCCAGGGAGATTAGTCTAAACTTAGATCTGATCTTGTCTCTCTCCTCAGCTTAAAATTTGTTGGTGGATCCTTATTGCTTTCCTCTGTGATCCTGCCTTTGCCCATCTGACTGGCCTCCCCTCCCCCATGTATGCATGACACTCCATTCAAACCGGACCTAGCATATGTTATTCCTTCTGTCTGGAATTCTCTTTCGTCTTCTTTGCCTAGTTGTCAGCTATGCCTGTTTTTCTTGTTGTTTTTTTTAAGATTTTTGGTGGTGGTTACCTCCATTGTGAATCCCTCTATCTAGGTCAAACGTCCCTCCTTTGTGCTCCCCAAACCCACTTTGCCTACTTCAGTAATGGAACTTCTCTCACTATGCTGTAATTATTGTTTTTGTTTTCCTTACTAAAGAAGGAGCTCCTTAAGGTTGGGATACTGTCTTTCTTGTTTTAGAGTCCTGAATACCCAGCACTTGCCACGCACAGAGATAAGTGTTCAGGGAATCAATGGGTGAGTGAGTAATCTGAAGCTTGAGTTCTATCTCTTACATCATTTAGCTGCGTGGACAAATCACTTCTCTCTGGCCTCAGTTTTTCCATCTATACAATGAGAAAGGTGGCTCAGATGATCTATGAAAACTCTCTAAGTCTGGGTTTTTTTGTTTGTTTTCTTTCTTTATCGTTGTCATATGCACACATGTGCACGCGCACACACACAAGCGCACACACACACACATACACACACACCCCTAGAAGTTGTTAGCAGCTGTCATGCTGAGTAATTTCAAAGTTTCAAAACTGAGCTTTTTAGAATTCACTGTGTTTATTATGGACTGTCCCACATCTGTTCACCAGCTAAAGAGATGAGAGCTGTATCCAACTTGCTTGGCCCAAGATTGCAGAACTGATTATATCCCCACTCTTCCTTTCTCTGATCTTCTGTCTTTGACATACACAAAGGTTAGAGAATTTTCTCTGATGTGTCTCCAGAGACGTTCCTTTCTTGTCCTACTTTCTCAGCCTGAGCTCAGCTATCTTGGTTCACTTTCTTTAACCTGGCTTCATGATGTTTTTTGCCTTCCTGTGGGCACAGGGCCTGTTCTTTCCGCTCTCCACTCTCTACTCTCACCTCATCCCACTCCCTGTTCCCTGACCCCCTCCTTTTTTTCAAGGTTGAAAGTAGGCCACCTCAATCCTAGCTTTACACAAGAGTGTAACACAAGATATTAGGGGTGAACCTGGGGTCTTGAAAAGGCAAGGACTATCCACAACATATTTTAAGAAAAAGTTTGAATTTCTTATACTTGAAAAATTGAATCTATTCATTAGGACATTTTATGGAAACTGATGGGTTCCCTAGGAAAAAGCCATCCACCTACTCCCAAATGGGAAAAAAAAAAAAAAAAAAAAACTTTAAGGACCATTTTGTAACTAAACAGTTTTAGGGCATATTAGCAAAGATGATATTACTCAGAACTTAGGGTAGGTACTGTGTACAAAATGAAGACTCTTAGAAGGCATTTGAAAGATATCCAGAGTTGAAGAGTGGTTTGTTTGCCCCACCACGACCACCATCGAAAATTGATTGAGAGCCTGCTTTCTACCCATTCATTCAGTAAGTATTTACTAATACCTACTATGTGCCAGGCATCGTTTTAGATCTAGGGATATAGCAATGAACAAAACAGGCTAAAATCCCTGCCTACATGGAGTCCTGGTGGTACAGTGGTTAAGAGCTCTGCTGCCAACCAAGAGATCGGCTGTTCAAATCCACCAGCTGCTCCTTGGAAACCCTATGGGGCAATTCTGCTCTGTCCTATAGGGTCGCTATGAGTCAGAACCGACTCCACGGCATATAACATTGACAACAACGTGGACCTTATATTCTAATTGAAAGAAGACTGTAAACAAAATAAGTAAATGATAATAGTATTTTAGGAGATAATATGTGCTAAAGAGAAAAGTAAAACAGATAAGAGGGAATAGGCAATGTTGGGGCATTGCACTTTTAAATGGGGTAGTCAAGGGAAAGGCTCTTTGAGAAATGACAGTTGAGTAAAAGTTAGACCTGAAGAGAGTAAGCCAGACAGATATCTAGTGAAAAGAGGGAACAGCAAATACAGAGGCCTTGAGGCAGGAGCAGGCCTGACATTAGAAACAGCATTTAGTCTGAGTGAGCTGGGGAGCCATTGGGGGGTTATAAGCAGAGGAATGACAGGATTTGACTTTAGGTTTTAATCTAAAGGATAATTCTGGCTGCTCTGTGGAGACCAGAAGGGGCAAGGATAAGACCCACAAGTAGGCTGTTGAATATTTCCAGCAAGACATGCTGGTGGTATGGACCAGAGTACTGGCAGTAGACGTAGTAGTAAGAAGAGATTGGATTCTGGATGTAATTTGAAGATAAAGCTTACGAGATTAACTGTAGACATGTGAGAAAAAAGAGATCAAGGATAACACTATTGTTTTTGGCTTGAGAAACTGGGAAACCTGAGTCGCCATTAACTAGACTGAGGAGGGGAACAGGTTTGGGGAGGAAGGTCAAGAGCATGGTTTTGGACATATTCAGTTTAAAGTACCTGTTAGACCACCAAGTGGAGAGAGCAGGTAGACAACTGAATACATGAGTCAGCATTCAGAAGACAGAGCTGACCTGTAGATACAGATTTGGGAGTCGTCAGCATGTAAATTGTTTTTAAAGCCATGGGACTAGATGAGATCACCAGGAGTGGATGTAGATATAAAATAGAAAAAGTCCAAGGACTGGATAACTCTACCGTTAAGAGATCAGGGAAATGAGGATGTGGGAGATACAAGTGAAGATAAATAAACAAGAGTACAAAATTATATCTGTGTTACAGTAAGAGAAATAAGGATGTTTAATTGTGGCTTTCCTTAATAGTCAAGTCACTTTTTAGGAACCCAAGGTAACTGGTATATATAGGTGTTAACGAATTGAATTGTGTCCCCCAAAAATATGTGTTGTAAATCCTAACCTCTATGCCTGTGGTTATAATTCCATTTGGGAATGGATTGTCTTTGTTATGTTCATGAGGCAGGATTTGTGTAGGGTGTGCCTTGAATCAGTCTCTTTGGAGATATAAAACCAAAAAGCCCACTGCCATCGAGTCAATTCCAACTCATAGCGACCCTATAGGACAGAGTAGAGCTGCCCCATAGGGTTTCCAAGGAGCAGCTGGTGGATTCAAACTGCTGACCTTATGGTTAGCAGCCAAGCTCTTAACCACTACACCAGCAGGGCTCCATTTGAGTTATAAAAGAGACTAAACAAGCAAGTGAGCAAGCAGAGATGAGGGGAAGATAGATGCCACAGCACATGAAGAGCAGCGAGGAGCCAAGGAACAAGGACCTTCCCCCAGAGCCCACAGAGAGAGAAAGCCTTCCCTTAGAGCTGGCACCCTGAATTTGGACATCTAGCCTCCTAAATAATGAGAAAATACATTTCTGTTTTAAAAACCATCCACTTGTGGTATTTCTGTTATAGTAGCACTAGACAACTAAAAACCAAACGCGTTGCTGTCGAGTTGATTTCAACTCATAGTGACCCTATAGGACAGAGTGGAGCCGTGATGGCATGGTGGGTAAGAGCTACAGCTCCTAACCAAAAGGTCTGCAGTTTGAGTCTACCAGCCACTCCCTGGAAACCCTATGGGGCTGTTCTACTCTTGTCCTGTCATCTGGTTTCCAAGGAGCGGCTGGTGGATTCAAACTGCTGATCTTTTTGGTAGCAGCCAAGCTCTTAACCACTATGCCACCAGGGCTCCCTAAATAACTAAGACAATAGATATATATAGGAAGATGTTTTTCAATCAGTTTTCAAATACAGTGTTTGTTGTTCATACTCTTAAAAGCATTTTATTTCTAAATAAACTTTACTCTGCCATTTGTCTGTGAATAGACTTCTGCCACCTCCTTTTCAAGGTCATTATTCTTTCTTTTTTTCATAAGAAGAACATCTCTTTTAAACTGAAGCCTATAATACACCCTTCAATTACCCTCTTCCCAGTGTAAAAGGATAGCATTTCATAATAAAAGCCTCTGGACTATGTGAACTCAAAAAGCATTGTTCCTATTTTAAAGTACTTAGAGTCCAACTGCCTTTAAACTTGAAGTGGGGATTTTAGTTGCACCAGAATGTAAATGATATCACTGGAACCCCTTATGTAATTCTAGGGTATTTGCTTGGGAAAGTTATAAGGTAATTTTGGAATTCGACAGAACATGTCTTATTTGTTCATTATTTGCCCATTTCATGGCTAATATTTGTATTCTATTCAGAGGTTATTTCTGTAAGTGGGACATTTGTTTGAGATTCTGTTATGGACAGTAAAAATCAATTAATTCCCAGCATAATAGAAATTCTAACTTAATATTGATACTCTTGCTCAAGTTGTCGTTGAGGATATCATCCCTTGAGGATATCATCTCTTTTGAATATGTTTCTTGTACAATGTGTGAAGATCAGTTCAGTTTTCCAATGACACAATTTGGGTTCTTGTCTTATTAATCAGTAGCAGCAGTCAGAGAAGGCCTACTTATTCCTTCTTCAATAGAAGCAAACTAGGCTTGAAGAGGTAATAATTACTGCTCTGATCTCAGCATGTTCTCTTTTCTCCTTCCCAACCCAGAGCATGTCTGTTCGATCCTGGCTTCCCTCCTTCGGAACCTGAGAGGGCAACAGCGGACTCGGCTTCTGAATAAATTTACTGAAAATGACAGTGAGAAGGTGGGTGCTTGTTGGACTGTAAGAATGGGACCAGGACTGGCAGGGATAGAGGGCTCTTTACCTGATGTGATCTAAAGGGTGCTGAGTGAGTGTTCCTGCCCTAAAATTTCTCCTCCATCATCTGGGCCCCATTGCCTTGTATCTCAAAGGTTTTTCTGGTGTTTCTCCCTCTCATCTTGAAATGCAGTCTCCTGAGAGGGATGATACCTTAAGGTGGGATCATGTAGCACTTTAGGGGAGGGTTTTGAACCCAACAAGGGTGGATTATAATAGAATTTTGGTGCTGGAGAGAGTTTGCACAGCAGAGCAAAATGGTTCGGAGCATAGGCCTTGGATTCAGACATCTGGATTTGAACCCATTTAGCTGCTTTTGAGATGTGTGCCACTCTGAGCCTCGCTTTCCCTGGCTATGAAATGGAGACATGAATACCCCTCTGGAAGAGTCAACGGGAGAAGGATTAAATGAGTTCTCACTAGGTGGTGGTGGTCAAAATGAAGATGATGGTAATAAAATGGTAGAACCTGTCCTAGATGAACTGTAGAAGCTGTAAATGAGATTAGATGGATAGTTGATATTGTTATTTAGCATACTAAACCATAAGATTCTAACAGTAATAAGAGCTACCATTTATTGAGCGCCTACTGTGGATTGGTAATATAGCAGATGCTTTTTATTGTTGAACCCTGTTGGTTTGTCCCTGGGTAGGTATTATCCACATTTACAGATAAGGAAATTGAAGCTTAGCAATCTTATGTGACTTGCCCAAGGTTGCACTACTAAAAAGTAGCACTAATAAGTAGCAGAGCTGAGATTTGAACCCAGAGGCTGCTTGAGTCCAGAAAGTCTGCGTGTATTATCACCCCAGACATAAGTAGGCACTTCTGGGTGAGTAAAATTAAGCACTAAACCCCCCTATTCAGTCTATAATAATTTGTTTCTTTCCTGCCTATGTCCAAAGTAAGGCTGAAATTTTTTCCTACTTTGAGAGAGATGTAAGACTTTGAGCCTACCTCTGACCATTTTTCCCACCCTCACTAGCAGTGTTGCACAGTGAAGAGGCCATTAGGACAAAGAACATCTAAGCACTCATGTCACATCCCTGGTGACATCTATGAACTTCTGGGCATCAGTTTCCTCATCTTTAAAATGGGGATTACTCTCTTTCTTGCCTTCCTCATCATTTTTTTTTTTTTTAAAGGTTTAAGGAAATAATGGACTTGAAAATTGAAATATATAAGGTCTTACTTAGGGCCATCATTGTTAGAGAGGGAGAGAGGGTTTGGGCACAGTCTTCTGGACTGTCTGATGCCGTGTGGAAGCAACACTGCTATTAACCAATATCAGCTCCTGGGTAAATACCAGGGTTGCCAAGAGCCATGCTGGTGCCAGCCTAATAAAAAGATAGGTCAGAAGCCTAGGCTTGCTTCACAGTGTTCCTTCAATCTTTTAGAAGTCTTAGGGAAAAATGAAACTTTTTCAAATCGACTGAGTGTTCCTCAGGCTGTGTTTGAAGCATGAATTTTGCCAAGTTTAAAACTGATTTTTAAGTTGTTGCTGAGCAAAAGTGAGGGTTTTTTTTTTTTTTAGTTACTGAAGGAGTTTTTCTTGCACTCTCTTCTGACTCAAAAGCAACTAAAGAGATGTTACTCAGACCTTTTTTTAAAAAAGATCAGCTCTGGAGCAGAATCTGAACATGAAAGGTTTCAGTTCAAGAAAAGGAATTTCTATAAAGTTCTAAGTGAATATCAAGTATGTAACTTCAAGGTCCTTCACTTTGCAAGAGGAGACTTGAATTTTTATTTATTTATTTGTTTTTTAACAACTTGAATTCATGGAAATCCTAGAAGGACTGGGAACGTGCAGTCTTCTTTTGGGAACACTACATCCATCGTAAGTGTTTTCTTTGTTCCACCCCAGCTCTTTGATCCATTCCTGATGTTTCCCTGAGCAAAGCTCATATCTGATGTAAGAAGTGGTAGAGTGGGTCTCCCTTTGGAAGGAGTGACTGATGCATAGGAACTCCTCTGTTCTCTTGCTTTGGTATTCACTTTCCTTTTCACTCATGCCTATGAAATCTCTCTCTTTCAGGTTGACAGACTGATGGAGTTGCATTTTAAATATCTGGATGCAATGCAGGTGGCTGACAAGAAGATTGAAGGGGAAAAACATGTACGTACCCCTGCCTGTCTTTTGCCAGCTATTGACTTGCACTCCATTTGGGTCCCTTGTGCATCTCGTATCTCCACATAGGACAGGTAAGGGCAAAGCTGCCATCCAACATGTTGCAAGGACAGAGCAGATGATGGTATGCTAGAAGTTATAACTGCTCTTCTGACGGGAGTGAAAGTCCTTTAAGAGGAAGGTGTGTGGGATTGATCCAGGTCTGACCTGGAGTCTGGGTAGATGGCACAAGTACTCTTGATAAAAGCTTCTTTTAAAAGCTGACCAAAGTACTTTGATGTGACTTAGTACCACATTGGCGAGTGTGTCTTGGTTAACACTCTTGCCGGCTTCTTTAGCCGTAAGGGAAGCATTCTAAGGAAAGGCGATTACAGGGTTTAAGAGCTGTAAGGGAACTGAGGTCATCAAATCCAATTCCCTCATTTACAGATGGAAAACTGGAGACCGAGAGAAGGGAAACTCAGGTACATTGCAGCAAAGCCTACACACCAGGTTCAGAGTGACTGGCCCTCATTTTCTTATGCTGATGGTTACTAAGGGGAGTGAAACCTGCCAGATATTTTCTTCTTGAGTAACTGTGCTTACTATGGTGTTATCCTACCTTCTGTATTTCTCACCTGCTTCCATTTTGTTCTCTGTCATCTCTGGCCTCTGTAGTTTTCTCATCTGTACTCCTTAATAAGGGTAAGTTTTCATGTCTGCTGTTTAATTAATGCACGATTGTGTTCTCTTCCCTACAAGACATTCTTCAGTCATAGTCACGTTGCAGAATGATTCCTTTCTTTCTTTTTTCAGAGTCCGTAGTAGACTTCATTCTTCTTGTGATCTTGATTTGCAAAATTAGTCCGTTCTCTTTTCACTCTTCTTGCCTTAAAGATACACTTGATGCTTTGAACCTCACTGCTAGGAAAGCCAGTTTCAGCATCCCCCCAACCCCCGCCATCTGTGTTGGGGCAGTCCAGCTATGTGACAGAGCTCTGTGCACTGGGAATTACACTAGCACTTTCCTTCAAGCTATACCTCAGGCCAGGGTGAGAGACTAGAACTTAGGGGAAGACAGTGACCCAGTAGTCCGTGTACTGTTTCTCTTTGCCCCTTCTTATCCACCCCTCCCCTTTCTCAAAATATACCTTCATTTATGTCTTCGTTTACAGACACCCGTAGATAGGTAACTGTATGTTCTCTTTCCTACTTTCAGCAACTGTTTTTCATTCTTGTGATTTCCCTATAATCCCTAAACTTAGTAAGTCCTCAGATGTTTGCTGATTGATTGAATTGATTGACTGGGACTTTCTTCTTTTATACAGTGATACTACTACAAGATAAAAGGCAGAGACTATAAATTCTGAGGCTGGACTTCAGATACTACCATGTTCCAAACACAGTTCTCTCATTCCACACACCGCACCCTCTTTGCTTTGTTCTTTGATTAGACTTTCCTTTTCCATCTTTTCTTCCCTATACAGTAACTTGTACCTGAAGGACACTTAATGATTCTCTTTTATTTTTAATTGTACTTTAAGTGAAAGTTTACAATTCAAGTTAATCTCTCATATGAAAATGTATACATACATTGTTATGTGACTCTAACTGCTCCCCCTATACTGTGACAGCACATTCCTCCTTTCCACCCGATTTCCCGTGTCCATTCAACCAGCTCTTGACCCGCTCCACCTTCTCATCTCACCTCCAGACAGGAACTGCCCAACTTAATGATTCTTAAAGTGCTAGAGTAATATATTCTTTCCCTTTGTCTGAATGGTAATTAGAAACAAATTAAAATTTCCATAGACATTTTTAGGGAAAAAAGCCATGAAACCATTAGAATCCCAGCTCTGATGGAACCCCTCAGTGTTACCTACTGGAGGAGATTTTGAGGGGTGGTAGAAGGAGCACAAGCCGAGGAGTATGGACTTTTAGTATAGGCACGACCTCTAAATCACTGCCTAGCCATGGCTTGTCACTTTGCCGCTTGTAGCCTCAGTCTCTTAGCTATCAATCGGTATTATAGCAAAGTTGATCTCCAGGATCCCCTCCAGCTTAATTTCTTCCCTTAGGTTCAGTTGAACATCCTTTGGTAACTCTGCCATTTTTGAACAATAGAGTGGATTAAAAGCACAGTTACAGGTTGAGCAGCGGTTGAATTGTCTTCCAGATAGAGGAGCAGCGACTTAGTGGTAAGGCTGTGCATGAGGTGAGGACTCAGGTAGCCCTGGATTTGAATTCCAGCTGTGCCATTTCCTAGCTCTGTGACCTTGGACAAATGAGTTAACCTCTCCAAGCTTTGGTTTTCTCATCTGTAAAATGGGAATAATAACCCATTCAATGTCGGGAAGATTAATGAAGATTAAGTATTTAAAGTGCCTTGCTCAATAAGTAGAAGCTGCTGCTGCTGATGGCGTTTCCTAGCTTCCTCTGGAATTCTTGTGTAACTTTTAAGTAAACCTTTTCCCGAGCGCATATTCCTTATCAGCTATCCCAGGAGTCACTCTAAAAGGCTAGTACATTGGTACCATCAGATGCTTTGTTTGAGGTGAAGCTGGAATAGACTTTTTTTGAGAAAGACCAAGTAAGCTGTTTGGCATCAGGGAGCAGCTTGCGTGTAGCTATTAGAAAACTTGGCCTGCTTCCCACAAGATTATCTATTATCAGCATTGAAGAGGGTGTGAAATTGATTAGCGCTGACGGAGAATAATAGCTGCAGCCACTCTCCTCAGCATTCATGGGGCCTCTGTGTGCCACAGGCACCAGTGCCTCTGCCGTTCCCTGACAAACATCTGTCTCCTTGGTGCCAAGGCCGTTTTGCTGGGCGCTGGCAAACATTCCAAGGCCATTAGTGCTCAGCAGCCTCAGTGTTGCTTGGAGAGACAGTTCGGGGTGGGGGTTGAGGGATGCATTTGTGAGCAGTGTTCACTGCCAGCACTCAGGCTCCATCCTGACAGATGAAGCCAGCTCACAGGTGTAAAGTGACTTAGACCAAAATGGCTTTTTTTTCACCTCTCCCTTATGCAGTCTTCTCTTCAAAGTCATAAACAATTTGTCTTCTCACCCCACCCCCTATTAAATTTGGATGTCCTACACCCATTGGGAACTCAGCAAATATATTTTTTACTTGAACACTTACTTCTTAGACATTTTGATGACATTGTCACGTCATTAATGAGTAAGTATCCCATATCCTTTGCCAGGTCTGCAGCAAAAATCAACCTTAGGTAGTGGGGTCAGGTATTGACAATGTTAGTGTCTTGAAGCCACACCTCCCCTGTAAACTTCAGACTTCATGGGCACAGTGCAAGAGTCAATGGTTTGCAGTTGACCAAGATTCACTGGAGAGAATCCAGTCATTTGGCAAATGTTTATCAGCATCTGCTCTGTGCAAGGCACTGGGCCAGGCATTGGCTGGGCATGGGGGATGGAAATGCCAATGAAAGAATGGGCCCCAGGAGTTGTGCTGCTGAAGGAATCCAGGGAGCAGGGAGACGTCATCAGCTCAAGTAACCCTGAATGGTTTTGTGGATGAAGCCTGATTCAAGCTGGACCTTGAAAGATAGAGATTAGACAGGGCATTTCCAGTCTAGGGAGGAACAGGAGCAAAGGAGGGGCAGTGGGAAGCCAAGTTAGGTTTGGAGGTGAGTGCTGAGATAAATCCCAGGAGCAGAGGGTATGAGAGAGAGAGAATGGGCTTCTAAGCCAGGCATCTTCCTGGTTCTCTGACTGTGGACAAACTGCCCCAGCCTTGTTTTCTTCCTTGTTGGTGTTTTGTTTTGTTTTTAACATGTACATCCCAATTTGTGTACTTTGAGAAATTACATATGTAGAGATTTGGTGACAATAAATATGACCTGTGAAAGCCCCTTGCACAGTGCCTAGTGCATCAGGGATAGTCAGAGAACCTTTCGTTTTCTTCTCTCTATAAGAATATTGCGCACCCCCACAGCACTGCCCCCCCCACCCCCACCCCTACACACACAACCACACATTTTCTGAATTCCATAGTATTGCCAGAGTTTGCCTGATCTGGCTCCTCTCTGCTTCTCCAACCTCCTCTCCTGCCGCTGTGTACCACCTTACTGCCTTACAGCCTTTGCATTTGCTTCTCCCTTCTGCCTTGGCTCTTCTCATGCTGCACTCCTCTCTCACCTCGGTCTCAGCTTAAATGTCCTCCTCAGAGGACTTCGCTGTATATAAAGTAGACCCCCTCCCCCATGCTGCTTCATGACTTGTAATTATTTTATTTATCTGTTTATTCTCTGCCACTGGGGACTGTAATCTTTCTTGTTCATTACGTGAAATTAATATTTGTCCGTGGGTATTAAGGAAGATAGAGGGTCACCCTGGATTTTCCGCATTATTCCTTAACTCTAATTTTTAACCCTAAAATTGTTTTGCTTTTTATATGATTAGTCCCATCATCAAAAAATATTTAAGTACAGTGTTGCATATTCTGTGGCATAACTGCAACAGTATTTAATAAGGGAAAATGCTCCTACTTGGAAGAGTCTGTAGGACACATTGATAGCTAATTTGATACACGTTCAGTTCAGATCACATTATTGCAGTGATCTGTGACTAGCAGAGACCTCCACATCTTGGACAACAGCCCCCTGTTTCCATGTTATATTCAGTATCCATGAGGTTCCAAGGACACAAAGTATTTGGGCATACCCTAAGGGTTCCTGGTTAACAAGATTTGACCTGAACTTTTAAAGGGCGTGTAATCTTAAGACCCTTCTAGTGAGCAGCCGTTCTCTGTGGTCTGTAAATATCCATGATGCTTGTCTCAGCAGATTTCACCTGACTCCCAAACAACACAAAGTCCAGGAAATAGCAAGGTCCTTGTTGTTGGGGAGATGTCCTGACTTCTTGTGGATTCCTTCCAGCTACTGTTGGTTAAGTGTACAGAGCATGCCTGGCTTCTGACTGTCAGAAGTAAGACATAATTATATAGGTACTGGTAGGGATTTCTGAAAGAGGGAGGAGAACCTTGG